AACAAACCACGTGACTGGCTGCGCACGTCCCCTCGGGTGCCCCCTGCCCATGTTGCCTTGTACAACGCATTCTGGCCTCAGCCACGTGTCCCATGGGGGGCAGGACACCTGGGTCCCCTTGGGTGGCAGGGCAAGATACCTAGTTCCCTGGTGGGGGGGGCAGGATGTCAGCATCATCTCTGGGGCAGCTGACAGACGCTCCCGCCCCTCTTGGATGATGTGGTATGTCCATGGCTGTCCCGCACTGCTTCAGGAGCTATGTGTCCCTTCCCCCTGTGTCCCCTTGCAGGCAAGGTCGTACCCCTGGGAAGTGCCAGGATGCATTTTGCCCCACCGTTACCTCACATGCTGCCGGCTGCTCCACTGAAGCAGAGACAAGCAAAGAGCCAGGAGCCAGCCTGAGCCCATCAAAAACCCACCCCTTTCCCTCAACCATCAGGGAGAAGCTGATGGAGCCCCAAGGAGAGCGTGTCCCCTCCATAGGGAGAGGCATAAAGTGCCCAGGAGAGGCTGTCACTACTGGGTGCAAGTGGTCTCCATCCTCCTCTTCAAAGACATGATAGAGACTGTGATGCAAAGTGGCAAATGGAGGATGAGGAAGAAAGTGGGCAGGAGCCCTCAGCTGCCCTTCTTCAGCATGAGCAACCAAGTTTGACCCCACCAGTGATTCAAGGAGGACAATGACATGGGATGCTGACACTCCACGAGGGGGCCTCAGCACTAGGGCCACGACAGGGCTGCTGACAGATGCACCCTTTGAGCGTGTGTCACTGTCAGACCTGACCTACTTGTCCCCAAGGACAGCACAGAGCTGCTCCCCTGTCTGTCCCAGGCGCACCATGTTCTTCAGCCTGGGGTAGGCTCGGTCCTGGGCACCACCTTCCCCAAAAGAACTGGAAAAGATCTAAGACTGGCCACGATGAAGGTGGAGAGTGCCCTGCCCTGGGCTGTGGTGGCACCTCTACGGTTCTCTGAGCCTCTCAAGAAATCCTCCTCAAAGTCGCACAGCCCCTGCAGTGGGAACAGCTCAGGCACCTGGCCAAAACCTCGCAGACATGGAAGATCAGCACAGCCCCCTTGCTGACTCTCTGAGGTTGACAAGACCCTGCTCCTGCTGGGCATGGAAGCAGGATGGGGTCTCTCATCACCATCCCCTGGACACACTCTGCCTTCCACTGTCCTGGTGTGGGTGGGAAGGGGATGGTGTCCCCAGGAGGAGGAACAAGCCTGGATCCCTGGCAAGGGTCTGCATCAGCCTTGCGTCCCAGTGCTGTCTCTAGCTGGCATGGTACAGGTACCTGTGCTATAGCCTACCCTACCTGGAGGACCCTCAGGCATCCTTGCCACAACCTGTGGTCCCCTCTTGTCCCAGGGGAGTCCTGACTGCCCGGCGCCGGCCTGGGCATTGCATCTCCCTCTCCCATCCCTGCCCACGCAGGTGGGCTGATGGGAGCTTCCTCCTGCCCCATACGCTCCCCTCGACTGCTCTCCTGTGCTGCCCCGGGGTCAGCCCTGCCCACAGGTCAGGCTGTCATGTCCTGGCGGGGCTGTGCTGCTGGGGAGTGCAGGGGTGACGGGCTGTGTGTGCCTAGGGCTCACTGTTGCAGCACACGAGGCATCAGAGCAAGAAGCTGCAGACTCTGTGGGTTAGTGAAGGCAGGATGCCCTGCCCCAGGCAAGGCGGGCTCTGCACCCCTGTGCAGAGGGGAGAGGAGACTTGGGGCAGCCCAGACCAGCAACTTCTAGTTGGCCCCTTGGTGCCCCAGCTTCCTCAGAGCTTGGGAAAGGCTGGGTGGGCTGGCGCTGTCTGGAGAGGATGCCTGGGGCCTCTGCAGACACAGGGGTTTGATCTCCACTCCTTTTCTTTCTATTTCAGCCCTTCAGCCCTTGGAGAATGACTACCATCCCTTGGTCTCTGCCCTGGCAACACAGACCATCCTCAACGTGAGGCCTCCAGAGGAAAAGCCCCCGTCCAGATTTAACCTGTGTGCCGTGGGCTACTGACTGCACAGAACCTGCAGGAGGTGGCACCAGCAACAGGCTGTTGCTCTGTTTGAGCAGAGCCAGAGCAGCAAACCCCATCCCAGGGTGCTCTGCCCACTGGGGTCCCACATCTGCACAAGCTTGATAGCCAGTGTCATCCCTGGTTGCCTGTAGGACAGCTGCCCTGCTCAGGCATCTCCCATCCCCAGTGCTGTGCTGTCACTGAGTACCTGTGTGTTCAACCAAGGGGCCACAGAGCAGCACTCTGTGTGCTCCGGGGGCCAAGTGCCTTGCTGGCTCCCTGGGGACCCAGGGGTGCACTGTAAGGCACACAGAGGAGGTTGGGGTGCCCCAGAAAGGAGCTCGGAGGGCCACGTGGGGTTGCGTGGTGGGGCGGTGGGGTGATGCCGAGAGAGAGAGAGGCAGTGCAGGGCTCTTTCTGGATCTCAGCAAGAAAGGCCCGACAACAAACGGCTTAAGAAGAGAAAAGCTTTAATAAGGTAGAAGAAGAGAAAGCTAGTAAACCTTAAAGTCTCAAGTAAAACATAGATAGCAAGTAAATCTTATGTCACAAGCCTGTGCCTGCCCAGGTTGACTGTGATGTGGCTCACCATCTGCTAAAAGTGCAGCGGTCTCAATGGTCAGGATCAACAGGTTTCACCCCTTGATCCACATGCAGCTTACCTTTCCCAAAGACATTGTACATTACAGATGACCTTAACAACAGACGGGCTTCTCCAGCCTGAAGGATGGGGCCCAGCAGAGCCTGCATGGCCTGTTCAAGATCACTAACTCCTCAAATACTGTCTTCTGCAAGGCTCCCAATACACCGGCTGCACGGAGAGGTGCAAGGAGGGTCCTGGAGCACCCCAAAAGGCACACAGATGCCACTGGGAAGCCCCAAGAGGTACGTGGAGGCCCCAGGGTCACCCCCAAAAGACACAAGGAGGGGCCTGGGATGCCACGAAAGGCACAGAAAGGCCAGAAGTGATGCGCTGGAAAGCATGCCAAGGCTGCCTCTGCACAGAGGCCTCAGGGTGTACCAAAAGATCCCAAAAGTCCAAAACCAAAAAGTCCTTGGGGAGGGGACGGGCCCGAAAGGCACAGGAGAGCTCTGTGGGGCCACAAAAGGCACAGAAAGGCCAACATGGGAGCATAGAAAGGTACAGGGAGGTGGCAGGGCTGCACCAAAAGGCTGCTGTGGTGCCCAGAAAGGTGCAAGGACCACCCTGGGGTGCTTGTGAGACCCCAGCTGGGCCGGGACTCTGCTCCCGCCTGTGCCTGCAAAGCCCCCGAGTGCCCCACCGTGCTGCTGGCAATGCCACGGCTGCCCCGCTGCCCCGGTCCTCACTCTCTGCATGGCCTCTCTCTTCCGCGGCAGCCTCGGCCTTTCCAGCCGCCCCGCCCGGGCCACGTGAGGGAGGAGACCGACCCTCGTCCCATCCGGGCTGCGCGGTGTAGCACCCTGCATCGTGCTGCCGGCCGGGAGAGCGGCAGGCAGGCAGCACCTGCCCGCTGCCAGGTTTTGGCCTCTTAACGGGGGTCCGGCAGCAGCCACTGCCCGACACCCTCCCGGTCGGCACAGGCCCTGTCCCTGCGGCCCCCAGGGCAAACGCTGCCATTTTTATTGCCGTTCCCCCCACAGGAAGCTCGGTCCCCGGCCCCCGCTCTCGCTTCCTTGCACGCCGGCCTTTCCCGCCTTTCGAAGGAGCGGAGGTGGTCCGCTGGCCGGGGTGGCTGGGTGTCGTGGGCGCGCTGCGTGCTGGAAACACAAGGCCCTGATTTTTTGCGCTTTAATTTTTTAGGAGATCTTCTCATTTCTCCCTCCCCCCGCTTAAATCCCGCCGTTGGCGCAGCCAGTGCCCGCTCGGGCACGACGCTCGCGCGGAGATCCCGCGGCGGAGCGGGGCGGGAGCGGCCCCCC